TACACTTTGATACTCTGCAAAAAGCTTTGAATCATTTTTAAACTTTTTCTCAAGAGAAAAGAATCTTTGAGTAGCCATACTAAACGACCGGCCTAATTTTTTATTTTGATTCGACAGGAAAGGCATATCTACTTGATATCGCCCAGAAGGAAGTATAACAGTTATATCTATAAATAAGTTTTCCACATATTCGTCATTTGAATATTTTGGGTTACAATCAGGGATTTCCTCCAGCTCCCAAAATCTTTCCATAGTACGGAAGAGCTCCAACTGTTGATCAGATTGATCATCATAAACAGTTAAAAAGGTAGAAGCCAAACTATAGGCATTAGAAGTATTAACATTTTTCCGAGGTACAGGACCTGCTATAACATATCCGAGATGAGTGTCTATAAAAGACGGCAAATTCGGACCCGTATTAATCACGGTAGACTTAAGTAAATAATGATATAAATCACAGCCAATAAGAATATCTATTTGGCTGGATTCAAAGAATAAAGGATCGGCAAGCTCAACTTTAACGTGAGACGGAATTTTAAAGTTGGAAGGAGAGATAGAAAATTGTGGTAGGTTATTGGTTATTTTGTCTATAACCGTACTAGATATATTAAATTTAAGATAAGGAGTTATTTGAGAATTAAAGGTAATGTCTACCACTTCCCCGCTATATGTACAATTATTACTACCTAAGCCGGAAATATTTGCATTTTGTCTTTGAAAAGGTAAATTCAATTGTTGAGCAAAAGAACGATTAATAATGCTCATTTGACTTGCTGAGTCCAGAAGAGCTCGTCCAATTATGGACCGACCATTAGAAGCATGGACATTCACCAATGCAGTAGGTAGCAGTACAATGTTATCTTTAACTGACGTTGCAGTTAATGCAGTTTGTGCCATCACAGAATCTGAAGGGACTAGTAACTGATCAGCTCCAGAAGCACCAGTATTTACAAAATTTGATCGATTACATGGATTTTGGGAACCATTATTTATATTAGACGGCGACCTATTTGAACTAACAAAGGAGGAAGATCTAGGATCATTTCGATTACTTGAGCTACTGGGCAATCGAACTTGAGAATTAAAATGAAGATAACTATGATGAGATTTATCACAAGTAACACACCTTCGCAGTGATTTGCAATCTGCCGTATTATGATTACTGTTTAGACAGTTAACACAAAGTTTCTTGTATTTAACAAACTGATACCTATCTTGAGGTGACAGCGACATAAATTTGGAACAACCATAAATTGAATGAGAAGAGTTAGAACAGTGAATACAGCTCGGTTTGTTAACCTCAAGACTGGAATGTTTTGAAGTAAAATTATTTGAAGAATGTACAGTAGATGCAAGTGTGACTCTATTTCTACTAGAATCATTTTGTTTTTGATTTGTTTTAACTTTATTATTTGGTTCAAAGAGATTTAGATTTTCTAACATGGAATGACGCTTCTGCAAGAAATTGAAAAAATATTCTGCAGTAGGAATAACTTCCGGGTTCCTTTCACTTTCAAAAGCCCGTCGTGAATTGAAATCAAGTTTCTGTTCCAATAAATATATTATTAAAGACTCAAAATTTACTGTTGGATCAAGATTTAAATTATTAATCAAATCAAAAATTTTACGAGTAGATATGTGAAATTCGCACAATTCTACGGGAGTGCTTTTCGAAACGGGTTTCTGATCCATCAATGTTTGGTACAGAGAATAGAGTAATTTATATTTGTCATCGTATGCATTTTTAAGAATATTTAAAGCAATATGTAAATTTTGATTAGTTACGCTTAAGGAATCAATCATTTCCAAAGGAGGTCCACGTAATAAACCTTTAAGATAATAGAACTTTTCGCCGTCCGATTGTAACTTATTGTTGTTAAGAACTAATGCTGAAAAAAGATCTATAAAACTGGGCCAGTCCTGTGCTAAACCAGAAAATGGCTTGATATTAATTTTAGGTAATACGATATTAGAGACAGCGTCTGATGAATTAGTATTAGAAGTAAAACATTTGATATTTTTATTTTGAATAAGCAGTTCAAGATTTGCAATACAAGTTTCAAAACGGTCAGCGACTATATTTTCGGCTGGACCGTCCGAGGAAACATTATCTTCCTCAGTGTTAGATAAAGAAGCAATTTCTAATTGAATTTGTTGATAGGTATCATAATGACTTGAAATATTTTTAAGTTTGACGTTTAGTAAGCTTATTTCTTCAGAACCAGTCAGTTCTTTCAAGAAATTTTCAATTCTAGTTAATTGAGACTTGCAACCGCGTCGCTTATTTTGTAAGTTAATTAAGGACATGATTGATCCTAAGCAGAACTATATAGGTATATATTAGTATAGAAATAAACAGTTATAAATAAATAAACATAGAACAGTACACGAAATAAACAAAATCCTGTATGCAAATGTAAGCAATAGATTATAAAGAAAGTAACAAAATCTATATTATATGTATTTTAAACCAAACACGCAGGTAGTTAATAGACACATAAAAAATAACCCCAATATAATTTCTTATAACAACAGATAGAGGATTCTTTTAAATGCAAAGTTATCATAATATACCTGCAAGGTATTGAAAAACAAGTTCACATCCTAAAAGGTTGTTTTTTACAACCTGAATATTACGAAAGTCATAATATGTAATAACACAAAAATAGTTTATCAAATAAAAACACATAAACCGGTCTCCTAGGTACGGCGAGGTCCCAGAGATCTCGGGTGAGCAGGAACCAGCTAACGACGGAAACCGGTTAGCAGGGCAGCAACTAACAGCCAACACTCATCGTAACTTCACGCGATGTTGCCAATGTTTTCTTTTTGTCGGATATTATCGGATTGTTTTTTCGCGATAAAGTCTTTCAAACAATAAAAAATAGAAAACTTTATTTATAACGACACCTGTCAAAGTGACAAATCATCCGGCTCGAAGGACCAACAAAAACTATGTACGAATAAGGAGCTCGCCTTAGCGAACTTTGCTGGTTCGGAGAAAGATTTTTCTTATCGCACAAAGCTTCTGAGATACTCCTTAACTTCGAAGGACCAGCTGGAGAATCCAGCACCTGAAAGGTTGTTCCCTTGACAAGGGATAGGTGTAAATATTAAATATGTAAAGCCTTAACGTATCTTTATTGCAAGAAGAAAATAGCCTACATTACTGTAGAAAATAGCATGTGATAGTTTATGGATCAAAAGTAAAGATTTAACTTGTATAACATGTAAATTAAAATCGTTGTTAAAATGTTAAAATTGTTGGATCACAAATCGTTTATGCACTCGCGGCACGATATGGCAACACCGCGACTTGGAACAATTGCAAAGTTGAGATTAAATATAAGTTTTCTACTTACAATAAGGCACAGCATCTAACTCGTTACCATGCACTCACTGCCAACAATACTGGCCACAAAAACTAGATAATTGGAAAATAAGGAAATAATGAATAAATGAAGAAATGAATTCGACGGGTCACAAGCGCTTGCTTGTTCGACCTTTTCTTAAGACGGTTGCTTGGCGACTATATGGTTTTTAGAAACTCGTTGGTCTTGCTAACAGTTCAGGACCGAGAAATGGACTGGTTTTTGGGACTAGTCCAAGTTTAGATATAAGGGGAGTTTTGTTATGAAAATCTAAGATTTTTACAATGTACAAATTTATGGTAAATTTGTACAACCAGTCTTCTGGGAAGATTCCAGTGGTATATATTTTGTTAAATAATAGTGTTAACGTCTGAAGATTTTCTTCATTGATAAACTTTATCATCTCTACGTATTCATCTGAACCTTATTCTTTTCGTAGCTTTGCCGTATTGATTGTTTTTGTAACTTCCGATGTTAATATATCAAGTATCGTTTCTTGTACTATATTATTTTGTGGTTCTGTTCTATCGTCATCAAACAGAGCTTTGATGTATTTTTCCCACATATCTCCTACATTTTCTGGACTAGATAGGATATTTGGTTGTTATCATCTACTAAAGTTGTTGTAGTGATTTTTTTCTTCACATTTGTGACCTCCTTAATCTTTTTGTATGCATTAAAGTAGTCATGCTTTTTAAGTAAATCTCCCAGTTCCTCACAGTTGATGCTCATCCATTCGTCTTTGGCTTTCCTAATGTTTTTGCGGATGATTCTCTGGGTTTCTTTATATTTTTCTTCATTGCGATTTTTGTAAGATCTCCTTATACCCATCAGTTCTAAGACTTCTTTTGTCATCCATGTATTCTTTGTTTTTCTGATAGTTGTAGTTTTTCTTGTAGTTATTCTCTTTGTATAGTTGTGATTGTTGTTTTGAAGGTATGCCAAATACTTTCTATTGTTTCTTCTGCTTCCGCAGGTGCTTCAATGAACTTTGCTTTGAATGTATCATTGAGTGTTTTCTCTATTTCTGCCTGTACTATTGGATCTTTAAGTTTTTCGAGGGTAGGTTTTATCTTCTCGCTGTATTTGATTTTCTTTAGTTTAATTGAAATTTTATCAATAAGAGGATTGGGGACGGAACAGATGTACGCCCCGGGATATGTTTTAACTCCCCTGATTCCATTTCTATAACGTTTGTCAATTAATATATAATCAATCTGGTTTCTTATAATGCGGTTTTGATTATCGTCAGGTGCTTTCCATGTATATAATCTTCTTTCTGGTTGTTTAAACTAGGTGTTTGCGATCATTTGATTTACTTCTTTCCACGGTTATAAAAGAAAAAATAGAATAACATATGGACCATTATGGCGAAGAAAGAGCCTGATTCCGAAAAGCTAAATCATGTCTAGATAATGTATTTATCATGAGACAATAACTTCAAATATCAATAACATTCGGTAATAACGTAATTACAGACGAAAAACAAAGAAACAGGAAACGCAAACAAAACCATTATGAATTAACAATCAGATAAACATCTACAATTGTCTTATATAATTTGGTTATATGTAAATGTAGATAACAATACTAAATGAAAAACAAATAAAATACAAATTACGGTCTTACCTTAGAAAGTTCTTCTATTGAATAAATATTTTTGAATAGGTGGTTTCCACGTGAGGTATAAATATTCTTATTTAATTTATCTGTACTCTCAGAGGAAGCTAAAATTGTAATCTTATTCAAGGGAGATAGCAGTTTTAGAAAGTTATACAGCATTTCACTGATTCTGAAATTAAATAAATTCTTATTAATTTAGAATTATGTTTGTTTTAAGAAACGAGAAGTATTCTTTCGCTGGGAGTCAATTTAAGATGAGTTTCAACGGTAGCTTTTTGAAACGACGCGACAGAATCCACAAATATATACAAAAGACTTGAAATTTCCGAGGGAGTCTTATGTATTTTCTGTGGTTTTCCGGGTTTGACACCGCGTTGAATAATTTTGGTTTTGAGAAAAACTATTATTTTGACGACGTTTCAGCACTTACTTGACAATGGCAAGTGCGACCTTGCCGAAACGTCGTCAAAATAATGGTTTTTCTCAAAACCAAAAACCAGAAAGCAGTAACTTTTATGCGGTTCTGTGTAAGGTTATAATATTCGTATTAAAAAGTTTTCAAACAAAAACACTTAGTATCTCTTAGAATACAATAAATAAAAAATCGCGAGAAGGAATTTTTCTTCCGAGAGTCATTTTTTGTCTGCAAAACGAAGAGACCGGTCAGCTAAACTGTTCGCTGTTTCGCGGAAAGTAACTGCGAGACGTTCCAAACGTAACATTTGGTTCGTGACAAGACTTATACGGGTGTGCTTAAAAGCTAGTTGCTTTCGCGTATTTTAATACAATCTCTTTCCGCGAATAACTTTGTTTTTGTCGTGAGGCTTGGCCGAAGTTAATATTTTTAAGCGAAAAATGAAATCAGATAAAAAACGCAGAACGATGCTTCTTAGTGCATTTGCGAAAGTTTGTAAAAATGTTTGTGAAACGTTTTGAACGTTTGTAAGCTAAATCGTTGGACACTCGACCCTGGCAGAAAATTATCGTACATTGGGAACTTTAACGAGTAACGTACAATGACCTTTGTGAAGTCGAAAGTGGAGTACTTGAAACTATATTCGAAAAAGCTTCCGAAAAAGAGTTAATCAGTGAGATTTAGGCAAAGGATAAATACAGTGCAAAGTATTTTGAACTTAAGTACAAATATGATGACAGACCAGGTTCAGTAAGTTCAGAGTCATCAAGTGTAAAAGGTAAGCGCAAATTTAAATTACCTCCAATAAAGTTCAAAAAATTTAATGGATACTTGAAATATTGGCTTCCCTTTTGGTCGTAGTTCAAAATAGTGCGTGATAATCGATCAATTGATTTCACCGATAAGATAGCTTATCAAGCCACTGTAGATGCGAGTGATGACTAGTGGAGAGTTTTCCTGCAGTAGCTGACAATTACTCAAAATATACAGGCTTTGCAGTTTACATTAGAGAGCTCTTAAAGTTAATTTTGAGTCGAGTTTCTAGTAGTCCTTGTAATATTTCTGCACATTATGATATGATTGAGAGTCAACTTCGCTCACTTGAGACCTTAGGTATAACTCCTGACAAATACGCGGCAATATTGTATCCTCTTATTGAGTCATGTTTACCAGAAGATATGATTCGATTATGGCAGAAATCTTCATAGTTTTTAAGAAGGCCTTATGTTTCCGTGTCCTTGGAAAATATCGGAGAAAATGCAGAAGTTACAACTTTAGAAACAAGATTGAGTGAGCTAATGAGCTTTTTACAGAGTGAAGTTTAAAATGAACAAAAAATCGATTTATCAACGGATGGTTTTGTAAATACTGAAAATACACTATATACCTACTGAAAATAAATATAAATTCAATAGCCTTGTTGCCAAGAAAAATGTAAAATTACCTAAACAAGGAACTGATAAGTCCTAAGCGACCTCTGCTGGGTTAATAAATTATGAGGTTTACAGGTTTATTTTTTGTGAAGTGTAGCATGACAGGACACATTGTTTCAAAGCACAAAAATTTACTATGGGACAGAAACGACAAACATTGTTAGAAAAGAAACCCTGTTTTCGATGTCTGAAAGTAGGACATTCTTCTAAAAGGTGTAGAGGACGTTTGAACTGTATATTATGTTGTAAATCACAGACTGTTTTGATGTGTCCTAATTTGCCTATTAATAAAATTGATACATCTACCTTAAGTATTCTCCGTTCGGAAGAAAATAGAACTGAGGATCAGATGCTTGCTAATTTGAACAATAGACAGGTTTTTTACAAACTCTGCGAAAGAAGTGACATGGTACTAAACAAGTAAGAGCACTTATTGACACTGGATCGCAGAGAACATATTATATTTTATAGAGTACCGCGGAAGAAATGGGTTTTTCTAGGAAAGTTAACGGAAAATATTGTACATGCATTTAAACAACGACATAAATTGTACGAGGTAACTGCGAGTGAAGGAACCTACTATGGTTATATGGTTATGGGTATAGTAGATGATGTCCATTGAGCTTGGAAAATTTACAAAATAACTACGTTAGTTATGTACAAAATAACTAAGTTGTTAGAATTATTTCAACAAGCAACTCATTATATGCTCAAGGCATTCGAATTAATTTAGAATTTAAATAATACGAAAATTAGTTATAAAGAGACCACTATCATTGTCAAAACTAGGAATTCCCAGTATCAATCACCACCCTTCATCGTAGTTGTTTACGTTTAAACTATGTATTGGGGACGGACAAGTGGATTAACTTCTTGATTTTAGGTTATGTGAGCAGAAAAACTCCCAAAATAAAATAGATATTTTAAAGAGAGAAAATCATGAAAAAGATCTTGGATATAATTATCTCTACAGTAGTGGAATGACTAAGGTTAAACCCTGATACATGCATTCTGCAACGCATGTTCGTATATAATTTTATTGTGTAGTTTTTCAGGAATAGGTCTACAAAATAATAAAAACAAACCTGCTAAAGTAAATATAGTTGGGAGCAGCTTCATCTCCGTGAACATTTTCGCATAAAATATGTAAATCGTCCAAAATTAATATAGATGGTTGATGTAGCAATAACTCGGAAAATACATTTGAAAAAAATTTATGTAAGGAGTCCATAGTTTTTCCTTTGATGCTTTTACATTTCACTTCTTTTATAAACAAAAAACTAGGATATTGGCACAAAGTGTGCGCAATTTCATTTAAAAGTGTCGTCTTTCCTGTTCCTGGTTTTCCTATAAATTAAAATCAATGAAAATTAATAAATTTATAAACATTAAATAGTTTACATTTATATTACATAAACATTAAATAGTTACAAACTTACTTTACAAAACGTTCTTTTATCAATTCATTTGTCTACGAAAGAATTTAAGGATTAGTATACCCATAATAGATATACAGTCCCCTCTCTCTATAACGATGTGCAAGGGACCGGGAATTTTCATCGTTATAAGGAGAGATCGTTATACAGAGAGAGGTAAAATTCGGTACTGTAATATTAATAATACTGTACGAAATAACATATTTTAATTTAAAAAATTTATCAAAACAAATATAAATGAATGAACACTGTATTGTTCACCACATAGTTTTATTAAAGAATAATATAAGCAATACAGTATAAAAAAATGACTACAATTAAAACATGTGTACTGTACAATAACAAAATAATATTCTACTGTAAAATATATTTAGCCTACATTAACAAAAAAGTATGTCACCTTGGTCTGTCTCCTTTTTACAGAACTGACCTGACCTTGTCCTGAAGACACATAGAATTTTCTACAGCACTCGTCTTCCTGGTGGATGAAGAATCGATGCAGTACTTGCAATGCCTGCTGAGGGGTCGGAGCTAGTTCTGTCTCTGCTTTCACTTCCGGGTCACTGTTTTCTTCTTCTTCTATACGATCTGCTTGTAGAATATCCTCGTCAAAAAGTCCAGATGTTTTAGCTACATTTTCATCAACTTCTTCAAAATCTGTTAGCTCTTCTGGTCCGTAGGTGATAGTAAGTTCAAACTGTCTGGCCCAAACTTCTACTGGCAGGCCATCTTAATCATCAGTCAATTCTTGATCTTCCAGCCATCCTGCATGTTTAAATGAATATTTTATTGTATTGATCCTCACCTCATCCCAGGATTTACTAATCATTATGATGGCGTCAAGAATGTTTAGTTTTAAATCGCCATTATTCTAAACCAATTCCATCAAAAGTCTTCTCCTGTAATGGCTTTTCAAACTCTTGATAACACTTTGGTCCATGGGCTACTTGTTGTGTTTGCTGGCAAAAACAAAATTCAATGTTTTGAAGGTCGCATAGTGCAGGATGAGTAGGATAATTGTCTACAAGCAGAAGAATGTTTTTCTCTTTAAGCTCGATATCCCACTTTCTTATCGCTTTTTCAAACATTTCCGAAGTCATACACGCACTCTTGTTTGCTTTATAGGTCATCGGTAGATTTTTCTGTTTTTAAAGCAACGTTGGTTTTTCGACTTCCCTATCACTAATAATTTTCGCTTAACCAAACCTGTCATGTTAGCGGCCACTAAAACTGTAATACGTTCAGCTTTCCACCAACGAATTTTTCCGATTTAATTTTAAAGTTCTGTTTGGTCTCATTTTAAAAAACAATCCATTCTCATCAGCATTGAAAATGTCGTCTCACTGATATCGTGCCTTCAGTCTAGCCCACGCGTTTTCTAGCCAATTATATGTTATGTTTTTGTTAACATCGCGAGCTTCTCCGCTGATTTGCCCGTAGTTGATCTTATGCCGCACCTTCCACTTGCTCAGCCAATCCTCACATGCCTTGAAATGCTCAATTCCAAGCTCAGTTACAAAAACTCAGCAACTTGACCACAGGCCCAGACAGTGGAAAATGGTTCACACCCTGCTGCTGGAACCACTGAAGCATAGCGCGATCTAAATCTTTGTGCTGAGGTTTCCCCAAGTTCTTCCTGCTACCGTCCTCTCTCTCCGCTTCAAGCCAGTTTTTTCTGTCCTTTCACATCATAGCCACTGTTCACTAAGACAGCCCCGTACGACGAAAAACATCCGATTGCTTTTCACCTTTATCTATTGCTCGAGTTATAGATAACTTTTTCTCCACCGAGAGCACTTTACGCTTTTTCGAAAACATGTTGACTGTTGAAACACTGAGACACAACACAAACTGGAAATGAAAAGTCGTCAATAGATGACAACATCTGTGTGATAACGGTGCCCGAACAATAAAAGCGAATCACTTAATCATCTGATGAGAATGAGTAGAATGAGTGGCCGCATTTCTTAAGCGCAAAACAAAACAACCGCTGGACATTGACCTTGCCACTCGTGACGCAGGTAGTCTGAACTTTAAGCACAATAACACATTTTCCATCGACTATTGAACGCTGAAAAGTCATCCAACGTTTACTATTTTCATCGTTATAGAGGAATTATCGTTATACAGGGAATCGTTATAAAGAGAGACTACTGTAATTATACTATATACTATATAATTATAGATACATATTAGTATGCTGAAAATGAGTCAGACCTGCATGCAAGTGGAAAATGTACGGAAATGACAAGTTATAAATCATTCTTCTTCTGGTAAACTCCATTACTGGAGGTTTGCGATCACTACATCAAATCGAAGCATTCGGACTATCGTAGTCACTACATCATATCGTATCATTTCTCATTGTGTGGCCTAGGTATGAGGTCTTTCTTTTTTTAATCTTTATTATAAGCTCTGACTCGCTATTTATGGTGTTTAATACTGTTCGATCCGTAATGTGTTGTGTCCATGATATTTTGAGCATTCTGCGATAAAGCCACTTTTCAAAGGCTTCTAGCCGTCTCATGTGGTATTTAATTTTAATGTTCAGGCTTCAACTCCATACAGAAGAACTAATCAAACGTAGCATTTCATAACTCTAATTCGTATGTTTAAGCTTAGTTTTCGATTATAGATTTGTTTCCATTTATTGTACATGTTCCTAGTCTGTTCTATTCATGTTTTTATTTCTATATCTGGATCCCACTTATCATTAAGTACTACGCTGAAGTATCTGAATTTGTGAACTTGTTCTAATTGAGTGTTTTTTAGGTCAATGCGACAATTTTCATAGGTTTTGCTAATCACTACTCGTATTACTTTAGTTTGTTGAAGATTTGTTGTCAGTCCCATTGCTTTACGTTTTTTGGCATAGACTTATCGTCATACAGCCAGACACAAAAGGAATAAGACAGTACTCATCATTATAATTTACCTAAATGCTCTATCAAAATAAAAGATTACATCGGTATTAGGAGAACAGGGACAAACTCTTCTCGCCTAGGGACCTATCAAGGCATTGATTTATATGACACAACAATACTAGGTCACGGAGAGGAGGAAGGTATACAAATGGTTTAAAACAAAAGTAACAAGCTTAACTAAATAATTTTTAGAGAATTATATTGATAATTTTCTGTCTTTTAAAAATTTAATCAAAGAATTGTAAACATCTACAGAGCCAAGTCATAATAAATATAGTATGTTCCAAGAAGCTGCTATTTTATATTTTAAGAAATCATTTATAAGTTTGGATGAGTAGACTGTATTTTTAGAACAACCAAAAAATATATGATCTAAATGACTTTCCTCTCTATCCAAACGTTCAATACTGATTTTAGTTTTTACAATTTAGACAATGACAAAACGGGTTGAATAATTAACTTTTTGCATAAGAAAAGCAGTAAATTAAAGAATATAATGAAATAAATTGCAAATGGGTTCAAAAAAGGCCAATTTTTTTTTCATTTTCCAATTTCCTTTGTTTCCATCGAGCCACCATTTTTTGGTGGGGGCATGTATTATGTCACGTTTTATATCACGTTTATGTCACATGTCACGTATTACTTCACATTTTATGTCACGTTTTATGTCATAGGTATGTTTTATGTCACGTTCTAGGCCAAAAATGACATTTGATATAGAACGTGACATAAAACGTGATATAATGACGCCTCCACCAAAAAATGGGGTAAAAGATAAAAAAGTGATGAAGTGGCTCTACTCTCGAATTTTAAAAATATCGTAAACAGATAGAATTGTGCAAATGGTGAAGTACTTTAGAGATTTAACAAATAATGTGAAGTATTGACAAAAATAAAAAGAAGAAAACTTCAGTATTGGGGGGGGGGGCATACTCACTGAGAAATATCATGCAAAACAAAATAATGATTAAAAGGAGTATAGGCCGAAGAAAAATATCCGGGCTATGGAACTTGCGTGAATGGAGTGGCTGTAGTTCGGGTGAATTTTTTAGAAGAACAGTTAGTAAAATAAGACTAGCGATAATCCAATATCGGATAGGAGTAGCGCCAAAAAAGAAGAAAATTATTTCTTGCGTGAGTAATTCCTCGGAATTTTATATTTCGATGTTGTCCATTTTGGCGGATACCGAACTGCCTAATACTTCTGTACATAAAATGTATACAGAAGTATCTTGTCTATATTCCGCGGAGACAAGAATACAGCAGAGACAAGTTATCTCTGTCTGTCGCAAGATGCAACTAATGGGAAGGAATGAGAGATCGAGAACCGTCGTTCGAGGTGTCGTGTTTTTTAAACGCACGCAGGGCGCTTCGGCGTCACGGTCACCGGTCGACACTCCTAGTATCCGAGACGAATCTCTCGGGGGACCACACTACTTTCATTCCACATAACCAAAGTGAGGTTGAACGAGCTGCGTCCCTCATACACCTTTTCCCCATTAAGGGATTACGGCACGTACCCACTATGGGAGACTTAAGAGTGGGAGGGAGAGCTCCTCGGCGGCTACCTGTCTATGTCTGCGTTCACCTTTCCGTCCCGGGGGTGGGGATAACGGACGGGTGTTCGTACCGCAACACAGGTACTACGGGGAAGGTGGAGCCCCGCGATGGTCCATGGAACGCGCCAACTCAACGCTCAAATGGTGTCGGACTCGTAGGGGTTATTTTCTAGTTAAAGGTCGTATGCCGAAAAACCCGGTAGACCTGAGTCCCGCTGGCATTTATTTGTTGGAGGTACACGAACTTCTTCATGTATTAGGCATGAATCATGTATTCGATTAATATAGAATCGAATTGAAAATCTGGATCTAGATTCAGTAAAACCACCAAACCCAATTGACCGTTTTATTGACACGAACCCGGTAAATAATGACTTTACTTAAAGCGTTAGGATCTGTGACTAGCTTTTGACCGACTCTACCTACCTCATTTGTTATGCGTCTTTTATAAATTAATTACTAGGTCAAGCTTCATGCTTCAAGCTTAATAACATATTAAACAAATAATTGTTATAGTTTAAATTAACAAGTGGCAAACAAACAAGTAGGCCACACATGTAACAATAATACTTAAGAAAATTAGCGCTGTCCACACGAGGCAAGAAAATTCATTATTTAATGATAATAAACAACTTTCAAGCTAACTTACCTGTTATTAAAACATTTTCTGTCAGCCTCGAAAGATCGTTTGTAGTATCTTCTATAAGTGTGTTAAAGTTTGAAATATCTTTTAAAATATGAACGCTTGGATCTTTTGACTTCTTGTTTTCCTTAACAATATTCTCGATATTTAAATAATATTTACAATTTCTAACAAGATGATCGTCGATTACACAAAACTTTGGTTCATCTGGGAAGAATTTTAGGCTGCATACAATGTTGTCACCAATGTTAATAGGAATGTCGCTGTTCAATACAAAAACGTTATCTTGATCACTTCCCTTTGCCAGAAATCGCTTAAAAGTTTCTATAACATCCACTGTATAATTTTTATTAGCGTTGATCTGAATTTCATTAACAAAAGGGTATTTTTCTACAGGTTTTAAACTCATTCTAGCTCCTAACGGACAATCGAAAAAATTAATTATTTCTTCATCGACACATAGCTCATGATCCATATTCAAATCCAAATTTTCAATCAACATTAGTCTTGCATAAATGTCCTTAGCAAAAACATCATTAGTTAATAAACTCAGTCGAAATATTTTAAACCGTGATACGTCTTCAGATGTCACATTTTTGAATAAAAATATAGTAAATGGAAGGTCTGATAAAAAAGTATTTTCAGGAAAAGGCACTTTGTTTATGGGAACAACTCTAAAAAGTAATTCAGATTGTAAAGTGATGTATTTTTCCAAAGGACTTTTCGCAATAGGAGCTTTAATAAAATTTGAAAAAAATTTCCAATCGGATTTATCTGCGATCTGATTAGAATCAGTTGAGACAATGTTATCTTCCAATGGCTTGTACGAAGATTCTTCTATATGTACTTCCGTCAAAAAGTCTATTGCACCAGGAGACACTGGATTCACATTACCTAAAAAAAATTGAATTATATGTTCATATTATTGTTTTTTCTATTACTATATAATGTCTTTGGCTTAGCCAATTAGCCAGACTATTTAGTAAGTTAGTTTTATCTGTTTTTGGATACAATAAATTTACTGACATATTACATTATAAATATTAATTATGTTAACAAATATTTTTCTGAAGTTAAATATGGATAGCAATTAAAGTAAACTGTATACCCAAGCTTAATCAAGCCATTCAGATCGATGCTGGGAATATTTATATTCCACTATGCATCAACAATTTACCCATATAAATTACTATGATGATGTGGGAGAAATTCCAGTTGACAGACGATCTGCGGGATTCTCAAGTATATTCACGTAACGCCATGTGTGAGATTCGGTCAAAGTTTTAATTTGACAAACGTTTTTAACAAACTCGGAGCAGTCCTTATCCATCCTAGAACAATAGTGGAGTCGCACCAATAAATGATGTCTTCGAAATCCAGTTGAGTCGAAAGTGAACCAGTTGAGTCTGATACGTAACCAATTTCGTAAAGATATCCATGGGAACGACTTCGTCCCAGGAAATTTTTTATTTCTACAAATCTTGGAGAATATTTTTAGCTGTTATAGTTACAGCCGAAAGCAAACCTAGTGGATCAAATATTTTCGATATAGTGGAAAGAATAAGTCTCTTTGTAACTTTACACTTGTGCTCTATAGATTGAAAATTGAAATGAAAAGTTTCAGATTTTGGACTCCACAATAAGCCCAAAGTTTTGAGAGTATCGTCAGCTCCAATTTCCAAGGAAACATTTTGATTGTCAAAGTTTAAAATAGGTGCGTTTGACTTTCATTTTCTTAATTGGAAACCATGATGAGACAATAATTCGCAAGTAAGTGATTGAATGGGTTTGATATCTTCTATTGTAGAACTACCTATGTGAAGATCGTCGACATAAAGTCGCGTAAAATTATAGAAGATATGTCGGGAAAATCTGTTGCATACATATGTGCCACTTCTTGAAGACATCTAGTGGCAAGAAAACTAGCAAAAGCAGTACCGTAAGTTACTGTGTTCAAAGTATAAGTTTCGACAGAGTTTGTATGATCAGATCACTATGTGATCTTTTGTAAGGAGCGTTCTTCTTCCTTTATTAGTATTTGTCGATATATATTTTCTATGTCGGCTGTTAGTACAAAACTATATTTACGAAAACGTGATTGTAAAAAGATCATCTTGTAAATTAGGTCCAACCATAAGAATGTCGTTCAGAGAAACACCTGTATCTGGATTGGCAGAACCGTCAAATACAACACGAATTTTATTGCCATTATAGACACAATGATGAGAAGAAAGAACTCAGATCCTATGATTTTAAAGGGTGAAACGGACATATGGTGTAAGGATAAGTATTTATCGATAAATCGAGTGTAATCATCTTTTAATTCAAAATTCGCATTAAGCTTACTATCGAGAGAATAAAATCTTTTTGTTGTTGTAGTCTTAAGAGTCACCTATAATGTCGACGGGAGGTTTCAAGGGAAGTGATACTACAAACCTACCAAAAGAATTAAGAGAGGTAGTTTTTAAGAAGTGATCTTCACAAGAAAGTTCTTCGTTAGACAAAAAATATGTTCTTGGGCATTCTTCCGTGTGCTTCCAGTTATGACTTACGGCGCCGAAACACTTTCTTTAATCCAAGCTACAGCAACCAAACTCAGAGTAGCCCAAATACGAATGGAACGCTCGTTACTTGGACTGACTTTCAGAGACAGAGTTAGAAATGAAGAAATAAGAAGAAGGACAAGAGTCATAGATGTCACAGAGCGCATAGCATGGCTGAAGTGGAACTGGCCGGCTCATGTGGCCAGAATGAATGGTGGACGGTAGACCCAACAAATTACAGTGTGGAGACCACGCGCTGATAGAAGAAGCAGAAAAAGACCACCTACACAATAGACAGATGACAAAAGAATCGCTGAGAATTGGCTGCAGGAAAACTGTAAGAAATTAGGGGAGGCCTATGTTCAACCTTTTGCGCAGAATGCTGGATGATGATAATGATTTGAGTTTTTTAGGAAAAAGTGAAAAATAAAATGTACGCAAATTCCACAATAATTAAAATTTATAGTAATCCCCACAAGACTTTCTTTATTTTAGCATAAGAAATGACTTCAAAAATGATGACCGCTTTAGCACCAGGGGAAGTCTAGCAATAGCTGTTCTAGTGTTACAGTTCTAGTGTATTTCCAAGCTCATATGATATAACACCTGTCTATACAGCCTGTTGTTATACACATTTATATTGTGTCATCTTCTTGCACTACAGTAATAATCCATATGTTACCATTCGTCATATCTCTGCTGTGAATTTTTATTTACGAAAATCATTTCATGTCAGATAACTATGTTTTATTTTAGCACGTTTTTAATCCAAGACTTTAGTTTAAGTTTTATAAATAGACTTAATTTAGTTTAATTTTATTTTATATGCAGAATATCTTTGCCAGATGTGTAAGATAACAGTCCATCACATAAGTCACATTAGAGATTTCACAGTAGTCATAGATAGTCATATTTACAAGGCAGTTCAGTCTGTAAAAATCCTATTAAAAGCAACCTCTAAAGATTGGGAGGATATAACATTATGGGCCAGTTGTTTGAACACTAATCAAAACTTGATTGTAATCAAATATTTAATTAAAATCAAATATGCCACATTTTGAAGTTATGTTGACTGATTTATTTTATTCAATTTTATTAATTTGTGTTTTAATTAACATAAACTATAATTAAACTCTTTTTGATGTTCATTTCATGTTTTTATTTACAAATCAATAATAATAATAATAAGCAATTTTTAATAATTTTGACAGCTGCTGTGATATATTTGCTTGTAATTAAATGTTTGATTACAATCAAGTTTTGATTAGCGTTCTTACAATCAGCCCTATGTTGAATACCTTGATTTGGCCAAATATGCCACATTGGAGACATTACATGCCCACTGATACTACAAAGTTGGTTTAATACCATAAAAAAAGTAAAAGCTCACCAACACATACAGTCACATTAATATTATTTCCTATCCATATTACTATTTTCTGTCCTGTATAAACAACTCTAATTTGACTAAGTAATGTATCCTGAATGTTATCAGCTAACATCTCCTGCAAAGAATAAAATCTGTTAGTTTTACACCCAAAAAATGTTTTAAAATTAGCTGAAACCATCTTAGCAAATAGAATCAGTCATTATACAAAACAAACAGTTTTGTGTTTAAACATTAGTGAGTTTAGTTGTTTTATATATTGATGTTGTAACTATTAATTTAAATATTTTTTCCATTAAACAGGCAATTAGAAAGAAGCAAATCATCTTAGAGTGATATAGGAGATTTATAAATTCCTTTAAATGTCGCCAAGAAAAAAGATTACAGAACCCCATAGGTATAATAAATAAACTCTGCAGCCTCCTATACTTGATCGGGTGTCATAAAGACTTGCTTGAAGGTATGTGATTACAACAACACTGGCCTGCTCATTTATTCTATAATGAGTTAATATTTCTCCATCAAAAGTAAATCTATGAAAAAAAAAACTAGTTACAAAAATTATATTTAAATGACTTCAATAACAAAAAACAAATCATTTTATTGAAATTGTTAAGTATATAAGTATATATGTATAACAACAAATAACAATTCAAACATTGAAAAACATAATTTATAAGCTTACCATTACTTCATATTCATTTCTGTTAACCGGAAAAACAGTCAGACTAGAAACTGAAGGGAAGGAAGGGACTTCAGAAACTCTAACTAAGATACCATTGTCTACATTTAAAGTTCTAGCAAATAAAGAGTTAAGTCCAATACAGTTGTCATCCAGTTCTACTGAGGTATCACCAACAGAAAAATATACAACATGATTCTCGTTAATAATAACTTTAACACAAGCCTACAATAAAATGTTATTTATTAAATAGTAGTGAGCTTACAAAAATCATACTTACACCAGTTTTTAAAAATTTCAAATTGGGGTTAGTATATAAGAAGCTGTCTTTTACAGGTAAATACTTTAAAATTAAATTTCTCTCAAACATATTGAAGTATTCTTTAGGCAAGTAGTCGTTTAGGTTATTCCTTACGTTTTTATGTTAACATTGGGCACACAAAATCACTATTCAAATTCAAAATATTTTTAAAAAGAGGTTATGTCGTTTTGTTTATTTTGAATTATGTCCACAACTATGACATATGACAAGATATTCCCTTTACATGCCCATCTATTCGCTATCCAATCAGATGTTTTTATAACTGTTGTGTTTTTCAAATTTAATGGAAGGCTGTGTTGTCAAGTATTATATTTTTTAAATGTTTCATTTTTATGCACAAAATTACCTATTTGTTTAATAATTAACTTACATTTTTAAAAAGGTATGATACCAATTTAAAAATAGTATTTTTTAAACAATTTTATTACCTGTATTTAAATTTAATATTAAAAACATTTATGATGATTAAACAATATTTTTAAAGTGCTGGATCTTTAAATTGAAAAACAAAATAAAATTTTGAAAATTCGAAATCGTTTATTTTCCCTTTTTCCATAAGGTTTAAACTTAGAATATAATTGTATTTATTATATTGATATGATTTTCAACAATTTCTGGTTGTTGGCTAGAAATAACTATTAACGATTATATATTCGGTCGGTATATCCGACTGAGTAGATAATATAAATAGTTATCACTAAGTTGTTCAAAGCTATTATACATTTGTTTGTATATCGTTTGATTATATTGTTTTATAAAAAATTTTACATTTATAAAATTTACTTCCATATTGTAATATTAATTGTTGTATATCATATAAGTTATAAATTATGTTACATGTGTTATGCTTCTTGTAAGATTAAAATTAAAATAGACACTTTGCCTTATTTTAGTTGTTCAATACACGTTGGGAGGTTTAAATATTACAAATTTAAAATTTATTAACGGCAATTTTGATTATGTTACAAATAATAGATTAGAAATATGACAACACAGCTCTTCGGTTTTCAGTTTATAACCGTCGTGTTCGTTTGTTCATTCAAGCTGACAATCTTTACTCAACGATTTTTATAAAGTTTAAAAGTTTTTAGAAGTTTTTTACAAAAGTATTTTACATATTTAACATAAAGGTAAGTATTGAAATACGATCTATATAAAAGTTAATTCAGCAAATGAGAAAAATTTGATAAGGGATCGTCATGACCGAAAGCAAAATCATGTTGTTAACTCATTTTTTAATGTACTTTTTAGGTTCCTTGTTTTTATTTGTACATTAGATGAAGCCTTATAGTTTAAAGTATGATAGTTTTTATAAATATTGAGATCATTTTGGTAACTATATAAAAAAGGCGCTAAAATACACCTGGATGTCATTCTGGTAAAATCCCAGCCCATATAGTTTGTGATACCGTTGATCTTTTTATGTAAGTTTTTTTTCCTAATTCATAAATCAACTGGTTATATTTAGTTTTTATTATCAAATAATTTAGTCAAATTGTAAATAATAGCTGTAGGTATTATTTCGTTTTGGCGTTTTCCCCCAAAAGTTTATTGATAAAATTTGTATTATCTGTTATTTATTATATAAAGCGAGAGCTTCGAATAGTTTAAATGTAAAACTTAATAAAAATAAATTGCTCCTAGTGTACAAAAAGACTTGTGTGGCAAATTTTCTTATTTCACTATAATAGAGAGCATGTGTTTAATGTGGCTATATTGACTTCAAAATTTGATTTGTATTAAGTATATAGCTAATGTTTATCTTGACAAAACAATTATACAATCACTCTCTAATAACAATACTTCTTTCTGTTTATATATACTAAATTTTTAAAATTATTTTATGGAGGTAGCAGTGGATTATATGCTGTAAACGAAATAGAAATCACAATAAAAATTGTGTTTTGACTGCTTTTTTACATAGAACATAGAAGTTATTTGAGCAATACTTTAAAAAGGTAGATTATGAAAAGTAAAAGAGGTAGAAAATTTTTTATACAGAATGTCCAACAAATTTTCTTAAAAGTACTATTGCTTTTATTGTATATTGTATTATATATTTTTTACTGCACCATACTTTTTCTTTTGGGCGCTTCCAGTCTAGATTGAATTATATATTTGTTTAATGTTCATTATACTCTATATCTAATATGAAAAATATTTATGTGATTTATATCTACTCTTGAAGTTGATGACCATTAAACTATTTGTTTATTTAATCATTTTCTTCATTTACTGCAGCTGCAATAGGCCCTTTTTCAGGTAATCAGTAATCATTGTGAATTACGTTTTTTACTAGTGTTTTTAATGTCATATCCTGGACTAAATGCCCAATAGAAAATACTATCTAGAAGGGGAGTATTGTATGATTCTATATAAAATCTGATACTTAGCTTGAATTTTGGTTGCTAGCATTGACTACTCGCACATGCTCAGTTTCTGAAACTCTATTATCAGTAGTTTCATACAATTTACTGAGTCAGTCATATATTTGAAAAGTGTGACTGAAAAGTCTCTATGAATTTATTTATATTGTAATGTATAATGAACAATCACAATTAAATGATTTATATTAATATGTACATTTAAATTTTAGTTATCATGCATCTTATTTTACTTAATATTTATAAAAATTAAATTAAATTTGAATACAGTGTAATCTTGATTATTCGTCAGGGCACTGAACCAAGGGTATGATGGATAATAGAAAAGACGGTTAACAGAACATTAAATAAATAAATAAATAAATAAATAAATAAATAGTTTATTTACGGTTATACCAATTACAATAATTATAATCATTAAATAAATAATATCATATTAACAGTTTTAGTATTCAATAATATTTACATACAATTTACACAAGACCAATAAATAGAATAAATACCTAAATGACAGTTTACAGTGACAGCCTACATTGTATTTTAAAAAGATTTTTTCAGCTTTTTTCGAAAACTATTCAGAGAGCTAGAAAAAAAGTCTACATCTAAACCGTTTCCAGATTGACACATTCGTCTTATAGGTCTATTTAGACAATAGTTTGTTTGTTGGAATTCTAAGTAAAAAACGTCCTTGGATCTTGTGCACCTTTGAGGAACCCTAAGACCTATTCTCTGCAAAATTTGAGGCGAATCTATCATTCCGTTTACAATCTTGAAAAGAAAAACCAAATCTAGCATTAAACGACGATTTTCTAATGTTGGTATATTAAGTAATTTTAAAATGTCACAATACACTATATCTTCTGAAGAAATTCCTAATTTATAGCCTACAAAGCGCAAAAATTTTTTCTGAACTTTCTCAATGTTTTCAATATGACATTTATATAAAGGAGACCAAATAGTGCTGGAATATTCCAGAACTGATCTAACCATAGAACAATACACACTTTTAAAACAATCTAGGTTATTGAATTCTGACAAGGTTCTTTTCAAAAATCCAAGTAATTTAAAAGCTTTATTACAAATAAAATTATAGTGATTTTTGAAACATAAAGTGGGATCAAAAAATACACCTAAATCTTTGAAAGTGTTTGTTGGTTCCAGAAATATATTATTTATAGAGTAATTAAAACAGATAGGTTGTGAGTTTCTAAAAAAGCGCATTATTTTACATTTATCGATATTAAGTGAAAGGTCATTCTTTGTACACCATTTTGAGAAATTATTTACATCTTTTTGCATTTTTACACAGTCTCTAACATCCTTAATAATTCTAAAAATTTTCAAATCATCAGCATACAACAAAATAACACAATTTTCAAAGATTTCTAAAATGTCATTTATGAAACAAATAAAAAGAATAGTCGATAAATGACCACCCTGTGGGACGCCAGACCTAACCAAAATCTCTTCAGAAAGACAGTTTTTGACTTTGACAACCTGAAGCCTGTCTGTCAGGTAGCTCTCCAACCACTCAAGCAGGGATCCATGAATTCCTAGTACCTCTAGTTTTTTTATAATAATCTTGATGTTAACACGATCAAATGCCTTTGAGAAGTCGGTATAGATCACATCGACCTGAGCCCCCTTCCCAAAGGCATCCAAAATGAATTCTTCTAGGATCACTAGATTGGTGGTCGTAGACCTACCCGGCATAAAGCCGTGTTGTTCAGGAATAATTAAACTTTTTATTGGAAAAAATATTTTTGAAGCGATAAGTGACTCAAAAATCTTTGCAAAAATAGAAATTTTGGAAATGGGTCTGTAATTTTCTATACATGTTTTACTACCATTCTTAAAAATAGGAGAAATATAACTTTTTTTCCACTCTTCTGGGAAAGTGCCAGTACTTAATGAAAAACGAAAAATTTTTAGTAATACAGGAGACAGAACAAAACGACATTTATGTACAAAATAAGGTGAAATTTCGTCAGGGCCACTACTAAGTTTTAGATTTAATTTTTCTAACTTATTAAAAACATCTATTAGACTAATATCACAGCTGCTTAAACTAACTGTTTTATTACAATCAAAGCTTGGAATATCACAGTTATTGTTATCTACATATGACTTAGAGAAATGCTGTTTAAAAAAATTAGAAATTTCTGATGGATTGCTTGACTCATTGTTTTCATAGGTCATGTTGTTTGGTAAGTCATAATGTTTATTTTTACTGTGTACATAACTCCAGAATTCTTTGGAATTAGTCATATTTTGTTCCAAAGTTTTTATGGTTTGATTTTTACATTGCTCCGCTAATACTTTACATTCACTACGAATGTCTGAGAATAGTTTATAGTCAGAAAAAGTATTAGTATGTTTGAATTTTTTATGAGCTACTTTTTTTCTCAGAATAGCATTTTTCAGTTCAGTTGAATATGATTTTGGAAATTTTGGGTTTTTACATTTTTGCCCTGGTACATATAAATTTATGCAACAGTACAAAATATCATAAAAACAGGATATTAAAAAAAATTCACGGTATAACTCACAAACTTTATTTGTATGTTTTATTTGACAATATAAGATGGATTTATGTTGTACAGTCGAACCAATTTGATTTAAAATATTCCTAAATCTTTGTTCATTTTATTGTTACTTCACATTTTGCAACGGCAAAATTTCTTAATTGACGTAAAATTATCAAATCAACCTTATTTGCTTCTTATTGCCGACTATATCACTTGGCGAATTGTTGTATGTGCGATACAGCTCCTTTAGCTTCTTTACGCAAATCTTTGTGAGTTGCAATAGCATTGTCAAAATTGCCATTATCAAAGTCTCTGTCAGCTTCTAAATCAGTTTCTTCCGCCTCTGTTGTAATTTCAATGATTTCATCATCTGTAAGCAATTGATAGCCATTTGTGTCCCCATCACAAATTAACTATTCATTTATGTCATCTTTAACAACGAAAACAAAACAGTTGATTCAGCCATAACTGCATTTGTTACCACATCACGCTCGACTGTCAGGGGACATTTTCATCTTGAGTTGATTCAGGCCATAATTTATTCAGTGTTACTCCGGAAACATCAGCCCAAGCATCCATAATCGACTGCATGTTTTAAATTGTATGACGGATTGATCTGTTGGCTGTATCAGTGATGTTATATTGGCAGAAAAGATCACCTAATATTTTCATCGTTACTTCGCAGCATACCGGCTTCAGGATGGGCAGGTGCATTGTCCAAAATGAGAATCGCCTTTGGTTTCAAATGTTTTGCTTGCAAGTATTGTCTCACGTCCGGTATAAAAACTTAAAAAACCAAAAACCAGTTAGTGTAGTGGTTAACGGAAAGCGCATTCATATTTATGCAGTTGAAACAACATGCTTTTTTTGCTGTACCAATTAATAATATAGGAAGGCGATGGTCACCACTTGCATTTGAACATATCATTGCTGTGATTTGTTGTTTTTGCGTTTTAAATCCTGGTTTATATTTCTCAGACAGTGCAGCGAGTATTTTCATTGGCAATGCTTTGTAGTTTAAACCAGTTTCATCCACATTGAACACTTGATCGCGTGTCAAACCATATTCATTGATCTAATCTTGAATCTTTCTTTTATTCAAACCATGAATGTGTTGCTTGTGTGAGTTCATTTCAAATAGGCAAAAGAAATAATAAATAAGACTTACTCACAATCAGTTTAATTTAACTATCTAGACGAACTATCACATTCTACAATTTGCAAAGCATCTTCAGGTCTGTCGATACAAAGTTAATTAAATGATCCTGGTACACAATTAATGATTAGGAGAACATAGTTCAAACTATCCTGTAATTGCTGAATGGGGATCTTCAGTTTTTACTATTGTAATTCTTTGACAATCAACTGGGAAGTTTCTTGAGGAGATAGATTTTATCCAATGAAGTAGAAAATAGGTGTAATGTGATTGTTTGTTAAATTAAAGTGATGTTGTGTATTGTTTAATTCTTTAAAAGTTATTTCTATTTATTCAAGAGATAAGAAATGTGTGTT